GCAGCCAAGGTTGCTGTGCGGGGAACAGTCTAGTGTTGTTGGTTGTCGCCGAGGTTGCTAGAGTTAGGAGTTATCATCGCCAGAAGTTTTGTTGGAAAATTTCCAAAACCTTCGTTAAGCTTCGAGGTAAGCCTATAGATATATCTAGTGACTAGAATGTTCATATAGATCGTTTCTACGTTCATAAATGGTCGTTTGATTGAGTTTTGTGTTTGACATGCTTGAAGAACCAAGAATAATAAACAATGAAGTTGTTGTTAAAACTATGAATTAGTGATACCAAAAATTATCTATGAACCTTGGAGAATATTTCTATATAGTTTTTTCGATGTTTGATAAATAAAAATGGTATTTTCAAAATTGGATCCGAAAGAAGAAGAGGATGAATAGTAACTGAAAAATATACTGCCTGGATCGATCCAGGGGAATGGATCGATCCCCGAAATTCTGATCCGAAAATTTGTCTGAAAATGCTATTTTTGAGCTCTAAAATGTTATTTCAATAAAAATGATGTTTTAACAAATAAAATTGTTATGTGATGCATGACGTTAAGTTTGGGTGTTAACACTCGAAGCTAGGCCACTAATTGCTATTGATTGTTATGTTGATTGATGATTATGATAAATAATTATTATGGATGATTATGAATGATGAGCCTATTGATTAAAATGATTATGGATGATTGAACCATGAGTAAAATGAATACATTCATAATTATGAAATGACGTGTAATGTTAAGGGTGTCTAGAAGAACTCTAAGATATACCCATTTAGATAATTAATATTAAGGTTATCTGGAAGACCTCTAGAATAGATCTCAAATTAGAATGGATTTGTGAAAATATGAATATTCGGTGATTTGGATAAATAATGGAATTCGTAGACCAGACTGGAGGATCACTCGTTTGGAAATATTGTGACTCAATGATGATTAATCAGTCTTGTTGTTGCCTTAAACTAATTATAGTTTAAGCATCTGAGATTGTTGTTTGCCTTAAACTAATTATAGTTTAAGCATCGGAGAATAGTTTGCCTTAAACTAATTAAAGTTTAAACATTGGAGAATTGTTGCCTTAAATTAATTATAGTTTAAGCGTCTGAGAATTGTTTGCCTTAAACTAATTATAATTTAAGCGTCTGAGAATGAAATTATGATTTGGCCTTAGACTAAGAATAGCTAAGAGCGTTGTTATGATCTGGCCTTAGACTAAGAATAGCTAAGAGCGTTTTTATGATCTGGCCTTAGACTAAGAATAGCTAAGAGCGTTGTTATTATCTGGCCTTAGAGTAAGAATAGCTAAGAGCGTTTTTATGATCTAGCCTTAGACTAAGAATAGCTAAGAGCGTTGTTATTAGTTGGCCTTAAATTAAGAATAATTGAAGAGCACTGTCGAAATAATATCTGAATGAAATAAAATATGTCGATATGAACTGAACAATATCAAAATTGTGAATGTCTGAATTGAACATTGTGTGCATGATATCAAATGATTTGATTATGAATTTAGATTCAGTTTATATGCATGTTCGACGCATTAGATATGCTTACTCAGCTTCAACGCTGAGCGTGTAGTATGTTTTATTTGCTACACGCAAGTAAACAGAAAGAACAATGTGATCCTGGAGGCAGATGGGGCGAGATTGTCGGGATGGATGTGATAAGTCTTGAAATGAATTATTATGATATGACAATATTTAAATTTGCTTCCGCAATATTGTTGAATACTCCGTATTGTATATGTTATGACAATATTATTGTAATATATAAAAGTGTTTGAAAATTTTTAAATTCTTACGATTACCAAGTTAATACTTTAGTCCGGAAGGGGCTGCAAACTTGGACGGATTAAGGTGTTACAGGTACAGGAAAAAATTTGAAATCCCAAACATAACTTGAATATTTCAGGTCGGGATCCACTCGATCAGGATCTTGCCCACCCCTAACTCCAACTCCAACCCCCCCTCATATGCTAGTATGCTTCCCCACTCTCTCCCTAAGGTCTCTCCTTGTTGTTTAACGTCTAGTTACCAGCGGCGACACCACTAATCCCCAATCAATGGAACGTAGAAATTTGAATGTCACACCCGTAGTCATCTTTCATCACCTTTCACCGCCGCTACCACTCCTTGCTGTCATTTTCATCTTCCACCATCTCAACCAGAGCGTCCCATTTCTCTCTTCCTCTTCCTTGCAAACCCTAGACGCTGGAGCTGCCTTGCCACCCCTAGGTAAGTTTCTGGGTTAGTGTCCCTAATTTGTTTTCTTTTTGCACTAATTTTCTCCATTATGCAATGTTGGACCAAAAAGATAGGGAAAGCGAGTTTATTATTAGTTTTGGTTTAGATGAATTCTGAATTTCTTAAATTGAATGTGATCTTTTGTAATTTATTTTGCTACCAGCATACTACTACAAAGTTCTTTTGCTTTTTCCCACTCACATTTTATGTGTGTATGTAATTGTTTCCTAGGTATGCACCCACATTAGTTGTCATTAGTGTGTGCTTTTCCTATATTTAGTGAAACTATTTGTATTTGTTCATTTTTTGTGAAGCATGCTAGGCCTCTCACTTTTGTTTTCCATACCGGCAGTGGTTGCTAGTGAGTCTTTGATTTCTTTCTATGCACCAACACGTGGTCTCATGTCTGTATTTATTTGTATCTATCACTAGCAATGGCTTTCTGTGTTGATTACAATATGTTGTTCCCACTCAAGTTTAATACCATTACTTTACATTTATATGCGTGTGTTGGAAATCATATTCGTGGTAACATTTATTCTATCCATGTTGGCACTAAAATGCTTGTGTGCTTTTGTTTCCCTTCTGTACACCAACACTATATGCTTATGTTCTAGTTTTGCACATTGATCCTATTACTAATGAGCTTTTGTGTTTATTAAAATGAATTATTTCCACTCCCAGAACACTACACTAGCTGTGAATGCATGTGAGCCTTTGTTCTAACTTCTATATGTCCGCCTTGCATTCACTTATATGTTTTAACCCCAATTTGGGGAGAATGGTAACTAACTACACTTAAAAGCTGGATGTTGGAAGAAACTGGAAGGAACTGGAAGAAATGGAAGAAATGGGAAGGAACTGGAAGAAATTGGAAAAAATTAAAAGAATCTTAAAAAACTAGAAAAAAATTTGAAAATATAAAAAAACTTTAAATATTTTTTTGTTTTTATATTATTCTCATTCTAATCCTTGTTGTTATAAATTATTATTATTATTGTTGTTGTTGTTGTTGATGTCATCACATTATCTTAATGAATGCCTTTAAGATAAAATTTTTTTGTTATATTTCATACATAAAAAAAATACTTTTGAAAAATAATTAATTAGAATTTAAAATTAGCATAAGTATCAAAATGTTAAATACTTAGAGTTATTAGGGCTTCTTGGAAACAGCCTCCCTACTTCCGAGTAGGGGCAAAGTCTGCGTACACACATCCTCCACAGACCCTACTGTTGTGGGATTCAACTGGGTTGTTGTTGTTGTTGTTGTTGTTAGAGTTATTAGGGCTATGCTGCATTTGTTATAAAATAATATATTTGCAACTATATTTTATATATTACAAGATTTTGTTTTAAATATCAGATATGTCACATGATGTAATCAAACTTATTTTTATTTAATGATTGACATTTTATTTTCTTTATAACCCTACTTTTGGAATAAAGACATAGAATTGTTTTTAAATTTTTTTATGTTTTACTCATATTTTAGTCATTTTCTCTAAAGTATTTTGACTTTCAATTTTTTATAACAATTATAAAAATGAAAAACAATAATTATTATATTTTAGATTAAAATATTGATCATAATGTAGTACTCCCCACCCCATTCTATTTTTATATTTTAGATTAAAATATTGATGTCTACCTTATATAAATTTAGATCAAAAAACATTCTATGCAACTATTTTATCCATAATTTTTTTAAATAGTTTAAAATATTGATGTTTTCCTATTTTATCATGTAGATTAATATACAAAAATAGGTATTATTCATATTAAAAAGTTGAAGAAAAAATAATAATGAATGTGAATCATAAAAATAGTGAGATGAAAAAAAATAAAATAATTTATAAACTATAGTTTTGAACATAATAGTTGTAATAGTAATAATAATAATAATAATAATAATAATAATAACAATTATATTAATAATAATAACAATAACAATAATAATAATAATAATAGTAATAAAATATTTTTTTAGAGTGATTTGTCAGAAAGTAGAAAGAATTTGAAGAAAATATAAATATTTGGAAGAAACTGGAAAGAACTGGAAAAACTTGAAGGAACTGGAAGAAACTGGAAGAATTGAAAGAAATTAGAAGAAAATGGAAGGAACTGGAAAGAACTGGAAGGAACTGAAAATTAAGAGTTCAAGCTCTAAAGAACAAACTCTTAGTCGTGGACTAGGTCGCACTGGTATGGGTGCGGGTATGGAGATAGAAATTGAAAAGGATATTTTTAAAAATTACAGGATGCGAGAATGTCAAGGATTCACCAACAAAAAATATTAAAATATTAAAATATTAAATATAGGAGTTCAAATGTAAGAAATAATACTTAATTAGTATAAAATTTTAAAAAGAAAAATTAAAACTCAAATCTCAAAATTAAAAATTAAAATTAAAAAGTAAAAACCAAAGGTAAGGAGTAGGGTTGCGGGTGGGGTGGATGAGGTGGAAGGTGTATGTGGGGCCGACGTAGGAGTGACGGGCGGTCGGGGGCGGTAGGGGG